CTTTTGCCACAAGTTTCACCTGGAACCACTGTATCTCCTTACCTTGCCCTTCGTTCTAGTTCTGCTCTTTCCTGCTTTGTTGCCATCTCTTCTTCTTACCCTTCTCCGCGCCCAAATCCAAATGAGTTGTAGTAATGTAAAGATCATTGAGATCAGTTAAAATCTTGACACTGCTATTGATAATCTTAAATTTTGCTATTAATTTATAGAGGGATCGGGCACTATGCGGTATGTATATCCAGGTAGACACGTGAAGATTGGCATGGCTATGATGAAGGAGGCTGACAAAACATCAGCAATGAGATTCGCCTCTGCGCCTAACCCTGCCAACAAAGTTGATTTTATTACTTTAACAAAATTGGAAGATCACATAGCAAAATGCATGATTTGCCACTTGCCTGAGCGACAAAATAGAAGCTATTAAGTTGTAGCCCACTTATCACTTTTCAACCCATTCATAATTTTACCTTATTAAGTTTGTTATCAAAATTGAAGAGACTCGTCATCAAATTCTGCTGATGATAGTAAGTTTCACAACAAAGTATGGACTAATACATACTCCCGCTTTTACAATTTAGATGACACATTTCGCTTATCGAGAGTCAATTTGACTAAACTTTAAAAAGGGGAGGAATAAAGTAAAGTCTTTTTATTTTAATCTTGTTTATTGTCCAAATGAATTAATTTAATCATTTGAAGGTTAATAAAGTACTTCAAATGCTAGTGCCGTAATGAACAGAAAACGTCCTCTTCAAGAGCACCGTAAACATAAGAGGGTCCTCTCTTATAAAATACTCACAGTAGAGTTGGTTCCGAAAGAATTTATGCCCGAAACCCAAATGCCATCGAAAAAAAAATACACCTGAAGCCTTGTATAATCCGACACAAAAAAGTAAACTTTGCAAAATTCTTAAACAAAAAGTATTTTTATATAACAAACGTGCCAAGCATTAAAAGTACAAGAGTACGAAAACAAAAGAAAAGGAAAGCAAAAAACTAAACTACTGCATCTCCAAAACTCAGGGGAAGAGAAGTATCTGAGCCCCCAGGAGAAGTAGGCGGATCTGATGCCGGCTCAGGATCTTGACCTTCGTCATTATCCTTTTCTAGTTCCTCCCCAATTCTCGAGAACTCGAAACAGAACCAGAAGAGTCAGTTGCATTATGTCGAGCCGGGAGGCACCTTCGGGAAGTTGACTCCAGCTCTTGGGCCTTGACGATCTCGGCATCAAAATGAATAACGCCGCTTTGGCCACTTCCAAGGTTTTTCTCCTCATGCTATACATTGAATATGTTTTCTCAACGGTGAGGAAATCCGTTCGACACTAGAGCTCTTATTTAAGCCGATCAACCTCGATCGGAAGGCTATCCCGCTCGGACCTCGCGGCCCTAAGGCTGAGATCAAGGTCACAAAAAGTGGAGATATGAACTTTATTGTGTTCCATGACCTTCTTAAACTTCTACTCCATCTGGGCACGCTTCTCCTCAACGGCAGCAGACTCTTCAGCTTTGGAGTTCAAAGCTGCCTCAAAATTATTCAATCTCTCAGTGGAGGCTGCTTCGCGCTCGGAAGTAGCAAGTACAACATTTTTCACCTCGGAACATTTAGCCTTGGCTTCTTGAAATTGTGTACTTAACTGGGAGGATTCATAGAGGGCCACCACTTCTTGCTCGCTCTGCTGCAACCAAGCCTCCAACTTATCGGCTTCGACAGCTTGCGCTTCCAGTGCTGGGAGGCGAGCAGCAATTTGATCCCGCTCGACCAACAGTTGATCCCGCTCGGACGTAAGTCTTTCTTAATAGAGGATCGACTTCTGAAGGCCCACGGATACAAGGAAGTTAGCCTGCAAAGCAAGAACTCAAATCAAAAATCATGTCATAACAAGACAAAAGGAAACAAAGGAACAAATATCATACCGCGACTGCGTTGTGCTTGTCATTGTTTATCATACACTCCCTTGAAAGAGAGTGTATTTTCTTCTTATCTTTATCTAGCAACGGCTTCGGGTAATTGACGAGTTCCACCGACCGGGACAGCAGACGGCACTCGGTAGAGACCGAGAGGGAGACGTTCTTCCTCCTCTGGGATCTGCAAAGGGGGCAAATAGTTGTGCCCCAAATTCCCATAGGTTGTGGATTGGGAGGAGGGACATCCTCATCTTGGGTGTCTACAGCCGAGGCAGGGTAATGTAGCAATTGGTGGTGATGAAGGTATGACCGACATGGAAGGAGATGAAGCTGATAGTGTTGTGGGATGAGAAGCAGCTGCAGCAAAGACAGAGCTGGTTGTAGGTTGCTCATCAACTGGAGACGGAAGAGGCCCGGTACTCAGCCCCATAATACCGGGAGCAGGAACTGGGGTTCGAAAGCGAGAATTGGCATTCTCCACTATATAACACTCTCCCTAGAGCGCTTGGACGTCGTCCTCGGTTGGTGTTATAAGCTCTTCAGATTGAGCATTCTATTAAGTTGATGAAGGTCGTTGTCTCCTCTGTTGGTAAGCCTCTTCATCACTAGCTTCCCCATCTTCATCAATCGTCATAGCGGTTGCGGCAGGCTGGGGTGCGGCATTCTTCACCTTTTTATTTTTGCCCTCGGCCGAGGAGAAACGCCACCTTTTTGGTTGTTTTTTCTCCGACCGGGGACTCTGAGAGGAAGAAACTACACCTAAAGTGAATCCGATGGCGCCTGTTCAGGTGAAGGGCTCCTTCAACAACCTCGCAGCCTCTACGGGAACAGCCAAAACATCCTCCTCGGGGACGGTAACAAATCCCTGCGGAAGACCTGAATTCGACGAAAAAAAAGGTTAACCAATTTCTTATATGCAAAAATGAGATGAAGACAAGATTAGTTTCGCGAATCAACTTGCCATGATTTTTGGCCTTCCACCCGTATTTGAAGGCCAGTTCTTCTCACCGGTGGTATTAGGCATGGTAATATCCAGAATCTTCTGGACCCACTAGTCCAAGCCTTCAACCCTGGGGTATCCACCGATTTGCTGAAATAGCGAAAAGTGAAGGATCAGTAACAGTATGCAATAACCTCTTATCAGAGAAAAGACGTTGAATTTACGAGTACGAGTTCATGACTCAGGGAAAGACGGAATTGTGGCCGGGATGATATACCCGGTGGCAATAATAATGAACCGCTCCATCCATCCATGGTTGTTGTCATCATCCATGCTAGTGGCAAAACATGGTGGTCACGTTTGCTAAAGTTTATTATTCACCCACAGAAAATCTTGGGGGAGTAGAGGTTCACCATGCGAGCCAAGGAGAGCTCTTCCCCCGTCTCCTGGCATAGCTTTCAAAGACAGGCTACCGTCTGCCACACAGACGGTCTCACTTGTGCCAAACAGACTTGATACCGATGGCAGAACTCCAGGATTATGGGGTCAAGTCCCCCGCTCAATGAGAATGAGCTCAAAGTGAAGGGGTACGTATAAAAATATGTAAAACCCTTCTTAGGGAAAGTTACTCACTCTACCAGATCGGGAGTGATGATGTTCAGATCATAGCAGCCACAATCCTCCTTCACAACAGGAATACTAGAAGGACGGATAAAAGAAGGGTACACTCCAACATCCAACATCCATGTACGAGAGTTTATAAAAGAAAACTTCTCTTCAAAATCCTTGGTTGTACTAAGCCTTATGGGAATGATGGTGTTCACCGTAGGAGGGGCAACATCATTGGTGCTTTATTTATTTTTTAGAGAACTTGAGTTCATTGAGGAGGAGGCCATGGTTAGCAGAAGGTAATAAGAGATCTTTGAAGAAGAAGATTAAAGAAGAGTGAAAGCAAGAAAGAGTTGAGTGCAAAGAAGTTGAGAGAGTTTCAAAAACTGTGAAGGGTAAAAGAAGAAGAATGAGACGTATAAGTAAAGGAATATGCAGCTAAAATCGTGACCATGATTACCTCGATAACCGGTAAAAGTATTGCTAAATCGTGGCATAACACGTGTTTAGGCAATTAAATGCAGAGAGACTGCGTTTAATCAAGCGCCAGAAACTTTTCAGAAGAGATCAGAAAACTTCTCGCCAAAAAATGTATCTTTACCAACTTCCCGATGACACAAAGATGCGCACCACGGGAAAGCAGAGAGACTATTTGTATAAGGTAAAATCGATTCATCATCAGCGAATAATATAGCGAACGTAGAATCAGAGACAGACAGAAAGCGAAGCAAGTAAAAACCGATATCGAGGACAGCAGCTTCGATAGGCACCGGGAAGACAGGAAGACCCCAAAGGAAATATTGCTAATAAAGACATTATCACCCGATGACATTCAATGCAGAATATTCTTTAGTATTAAATACACACTTCGTTATAAAAAATTTTGACATTCATAATCTCTCGTTACACATTCATCATTGATCCCCATAATTATCATTCAAGATCAAACTAAGAGAGGTTTGATCCTAGAACCTTGTTCCCTACATGCAACTATAAATAATGATTTCATTAGCTATTGTAAGGGACACGAATTTTTTAACAAACTTATGCTACACATTATTCTTGTTCCCTAGGTGCAACTTTAAATAATGACTTCAACAGCTATTGTAAGGGACACAAATTTTTTAATAAATTTATGCTACACATTATTCTAAGCTCAATAATATTTTATTTCCTATCTATTGATAAACTTATTATTGCCTTTTCCTGTCTATTGATAAACTTATTATTGCCTTCGAAAGCTCTCCTCCTAAAACCAAACTATTTATTATCTATAAACTATTATTTATTCCCTATAAACCACGTTACAAATTCTGTACAGTTTTACGAGGAAAAACTAATCATGAGCATACTACCCACCCTTGACCGCCATTCAAGAGCTAAGCAAGGGTGACGTAGAGTAGCATTTTTACTAAATTCCTCCGAATCCAATACTATCAACGTAAACATTTTATGCACAAAAATTTATTAAATTACTATAAATGATAAATCTAAAATCATAATTTTAATGAATCTTAAAAATTTAGAGTTTAAATTCCGAGAAATGACCATACAAACTCCTGTATTTGGATATCAAGCTCCGTCATAGCTAAAACAACATGATAACATTCATCTCAACATAGCATATGTAAGAAATTAACAAGCTGTTATGACACACACTCAGCCCCAAACCATAAACTAGGTGAAACTAGTAGCTACATACTTTAGTACAAGCTAGAACAACACCCCTTTATACATTAACCAAAGTTAGAATACTTGCATGCATTCAAGTATAGTATATATCATCATCAACTTCAAGTTCAGGTCTTGGTTTTGTACTTGGACTCGTCAATTGGGACGCCTTCCTCCTGGGCACGCTCTCCACCCGAGGCGCCACTCGAGCTGAAGCCTCCCTTGCGTCCCATCTCTTGGTACCCTTCCTCTCCTATCTGCTCCTTCCTCGTCTGCCCTCCTCTACTCCGCCCTATTATATTAAAAAATATCACATAAATTAAAACAAAATTAAAAAATTTAAGTTTCGGAAACAAAAGAAGTATCACATAGATTAAAACAAGAGGAAGTCTTTCTTAAAATTTTAGCAAATTCTACAACATATATATTTACGTTTCGTCCGTCCAAAATATACCGAATTCAATTATCATTTATACGAAACTCCATCCACATATGTAAAGTGATTATAGAGGCGAACAAGAATTATACCTTCGGCAAGGTGTTCCTGGGCCTCAAGACTTTTTCCACCAGTTCCACCTGGAACCACTGTCTCTCCTTCCTTTGCCTTTCGGTCTAGTTCTGCTCTTTCCTGCTCTGTTGCCATTTTTTCTTTTTTATTTCTCCAAGTGATTAATGATCTTTCGCTGTTCATTTATAGAGGGAGCTTAAGAGAGGATTACTATGTATATCCAAATTAACACGACATGGCGGTGTGTGGAGAATTTGCTTAAGACGTCAGCAATTGGAATGACACGTGGCTGTAAGGTGACAATTTGCTTCCACGCTGTCACGGAGATAAGCTTAGCTAAATCATAGAGTTTTCTTATCTGGATAGAGACCCCAAAATACCAAAGTATAAACTGGATGAAGACGATTTATGTACACCCTTTCGATTCTTGTCGTTCTAAATTTCTGAACCTTAATTTTTCATATACAGCCAAATTTTTCTATAATAGTTTTATTTATTTTAATATTTTTTGATTATTATAATAAAGTATTATTATACAGAATAAATATTATAACATAATATTAAAATCGATTTCAAAAAAATTTAATTTTTATTGTGAATGATTGATATATATATGAATTGTCATAGAGAAATCTGACCGTCATTGATATGTGTTAAGGTCACCGGATTCCACCTCCTCGGCCTATTATAATCCAAGTAACCTTTGAGCAGGCTAGTAACTCACCTATTTATAAATAAATTTAGTTTAACTTGATTAAATACAATTTAACTCGTCCATTTGACACCCTTATTTCTAACGAGGATATCAAAGAAAATATTTTCAGAAGTTGGCCAATTGAAATATTACCCAGTCCATCGTGATATAAGAACGGAAATTCATAACACAGAAACATCGATCAGAAGTTGTCTTCCCCGAAAGCAAGCTATAGCTGATTAATTTTCGGAGATTAAATGGTTGTCTTGATTTTGAAGCTAATACAAGAAGTAAGTATTGGTGATATTAGTAGCGGAGCCAGAACTTTTACTAAGTGGAGTAAAAATATAAATAAGTAGGCATGCAAAGAATCAAATGGAGTCAACATATAATATATACATACATAAATTTTAAAAATTTAACTTACCTACGCAATGTAATTTCCAGATGAAGGGGCATCAATTGACTACCCTCGCTAATGAGTGGCTCCGGCACCGGGTGATCTACGAATAAAAATACAACTTTTACATCAATCGAGATGGTAGCAGGGGCGGAGCTAGAGCTTCAACAACAGGTTCGACCAAACTCAGTAGTTTTAGTTCAAACTTTATATTTGTCTTAAAAATTTATGGAACTAATTTTAGGATACGCGCGATGCGCGTGAACCTTGTACGATGCATATAAAATTATAAAAAAAATATAAGCCTTAAGAATAAATTTTTTAAATATAAGCTCTTGAAAATGACAAATATTGAACCTATTTAGTAAAAAAAAAAAGTTGAGGCTAAGCATGAAACAACCAAGATGATTTTGAAAGTTTAGTGTTCTTTTACATTAGTTTCGTATTTAAATAATCGTCTAGATACCATGTATTCTAGACAAGTCAAATACATAAAGAAAATAATTAGCGATAAAAATATTGTGTAGATAAATAATAAAAAATTATCGCTAATCCTATTCAGTGACAAAATTAGTGACAGATTAATAAGAAAAATTGATCAGCTACACGATGAATTTCATAACTAATTTATGTTTTTAAAGTTAAATTATGCAATAAAATTTCTTAGTTATAATATTAATTTCGTTTTTAACATGAATTTTTATTGAGATAATTTAGGTATTTTTGTAAATTAAATTACGGTAATTCATTTTTTATCACAAATTAATTATTACTTTTTTCCAAAAATAATTACTCTTCCCTAAAACCTAATGCCGTAGAAAATTTTAAGAATAGAAATAAACGAATTTAACAACCAAGCTTCTAAAAAGATAATTTTCATTTAAATTTTAAAAACAACAAATAAATCATATGCAAGGAAAATAAAGAGGCAAAATTGGTCCTAATGATTAAACAAGGACAAAAAAACAGAAATGTTACACAAAGTAGTGAAGTTTCCTTGTTGGAAACTGACGAAAAAATTTACTCCTACTTTTTTGGTTCTTTTATTGTCTTAATATTTTGTATCCTTATTATGAGAAGATATCAAACACTAAATTAGTTTTAAAAAAAAATTAGTTGATTTAGAACTCTGAAATATAAGGAAAGTTTTCTGATTTATAATTTTATCCAATGTAAGACATATTTTTAAAGGGTAAAAAAGGCGAACGACATTTCGCTAAAGGTATTCGTGCTTTTAATATAGTATAGAAGATAGATAGATTGGTCACCTTTCTTGTACCATTTGCGCTTGAATTATAAAATATGAGTAACTTAAGCTGGCGTAATTATTAGTAATTATAATCATAAAATTAGGTAAAAATAATTTTGAATTGATATGAGTAGAATGTATAATAAATTTTTCTGTCAGAGACTGCAATAATCAAAATAACCTATACAACAAAAATTTTAAATAAGTCAATTTTGTAATGAAAATTATGAGACGTTATCATTCAAATATACAGGAACATCTATTATTACATAACTTCAAAAATACAGTAAATATTAAAAAATTTACCTCAAATCATAAGTAATTCTACCTTCACGGACAACACTATAAAAAATATCTTTTATAGAACTATTGAGCTCCTCCTTATTCTAAATGGCTTTGGTTTTAAAAGTCTAAAACATCAACGTAAGTAAAATTATTAATTAATAAGTAAAAGAATCCTAAATTTAAAGTGATGTTAATTGATGAATCCTAGACCTAATTTTCCTCTATAGGCTACGGTAGTTTTGGTAAAGCTAAAGAATCCTTAACCTAAGTAATGGAAAATAGAACGTCAATAGACCTTGAATAAAAGGTAGTTTCATGGTTTTCCAGGAAAAAAAATTGGTGAACGTATATCTAAACATGTCAAAGAACCTAAATCTAAGTAAAGAAACGACACGTCAATAAAACCTAATTGCCAACAGATTCTTAAACGTATAGTGAATCCTAATTGATAGCACAATTCTAAACATAAATAAAGAAAGTTGGAATAAAAAAAAAGAATAATAAAAATTGAATCCAAAACCAACACCGACACCAAAGAGATACAAAAGGGACAATAAACGCGTAGACTCCCGGTAAGGCAAGAATCCCAATTAGTATAAACTCTAAGGAAGTACCCGGCAATTTATTTATTTTTTCCCAAAAATATTAGTTATTACAATTATAATTATATCTAACATATAATACACTTACAAAGGGTAAAAAAGGCGAACGATATTTCGATAAGGTCTTCGTGCTTTTAATATAGTATAGATATAGATATAGATAGATAGGTACAAATTTTATTTTAGAACTCAGTAACCTAAAAATGACTAGAACCTCTATATGATAGGGAAACACGATCGTGATATAGGAAAGGCAGAGGACGAGAAAAAGGAGGTTATGGTTAATGTTAACAAGAAGAGATCTAAAAAAGAAAAAGAAAAGCTGAATAGACAAATGTGACGAGTGTAATAATCAACACATATATCCAAATCATGATGAATTTTTTATTTTTCCAAATCGTGAAATCTTTTACTAAAAAAAAAAAAAAACAGAAACAAAAAGCTGAAAAGGACTAAAAAAAATATATATAGCCCACACGCAAATTCAACGTAACATTGAGTTGGAGCAATAGATTAGTACTCAGTATAGCATGGTCAGATTGGACAAATTACATAATAGCGAGTCAAGACACGTTAATATAAAACTATAGGAAGACTGTGTAAGCTCTAGTAATGAGAATCTTAGACTGAAATTATAATTAATAATACTGGCTTGAAATTTTTCCAAATAATAAATTTTCAGAAGGTTGAAGCCACAAATCACATGGAAGGTTTAAATTTATTTTTATCGATATAGAAAATGCTCACACGATGTAGAAACCAGCACGTCCCTGTTCTTCCCTAATTTTTAATTATGATTAGTAAACTTCAATTTACATATATTTTGGTCAACCATGCGTATGTATATCTTACGCTTAAATCTTAATCACAGTTGTAGCAAACCATGTGCATGTGGGAATCTCTACCAAATTATCACGTCACTTCCCCTTCTTTTCGTTTCTATCTTTTTTTTGAAACTTCGTCGTAGTTTACTCTAAAAATAAACAATTTTTGAGCTCCTTAGGCATAATTAAAGGCACTGTAATATTACTTCTTTCTCAAATTAGATACATAATATCTTTAGACTGGAATGGTAGGAAAAACCATTAAATATACGTACTTGTATTGAAGTTATTAATTATAGAAGTGTTCAAAATAATTATTGAAACGTATAAAAAATAAAAGGAAAGAGATAGATAAAGAAATAGCACACCAAAATCAAAATGATACAGTATTACTATCAGCAACTTTAGTTTACTTGAAAGAAATCTCCTATTAGCGAAGAGTCAAGTCTTTTATATTAAGTGTTCAAAATAATTATTGAAACATACCCCGGGGCGCACACACCCCAAATTTTTTTTGAGTAAATACTGAAGTAAAAATTGAATCTAGGAAGAATATTAAAAGGTAAGAAGATGTTCTACCCCCCCCCCCCCCCCCACCCTCTCCCCCGCCCTCCAATATGTGTGTATACGATGGAAATTGGGGCTATCCGATTTCGTTCTTCGATGGAAAAAGTGATACCATGTCGGGAGGCCAGGACGCCAAGCTCGAGGTCGAAGCTCCTTTTCAATATCGAGGTCGATATCATTTACCGAGGTCAGAAGAAGGCATGCTTTGAGATGATACCGTTATGATTCAATAACAGAAAGAGCGAGATACCCGCAACGGGCCGGAGATCACGACGTAAATTTCGGAATGGATTGATCTTCGGCGGTTAGACAGCTATCAAATATGATTTCCTATTGTAATTAGAAGTGTACCTTATTTAGGACTCCCCTATTATATAAAGGGGGATCCCATTCATTTGTAACACATTGTTCACTGATAAGAAAATATACGTGCATCACTCTCTTGCTATTTCATTTACTGTTCTTCAGAGTTTTTTATCATTTATCCTCATCATCATACCTCGAGACTGTCACAGGTCGAGATCAAGATTTAGCTTACACACTGGTTTGATCT